GTGTGAACAGTATCGGTGCTGCGAAGGGCGGCGAACCAGGGCGAATGAATTCCTTCTCGAGCAGGTAATCGAGCCGCTTCCTCAGTTCGTCCAGTTCGGGCTGGGTCAGTCGAAACTGTCGCTGTACTGTTGGTTGTGCCCCCGGTTCTAACTCTATCCTGTGGTCGTGCGGTCGCTGAGGTGGCAGTCCCGTTGGTAAATCGTCCGGGAAAATGTCGCTGTACTGCTTCAACAGTGCTGCCAGGTCACTCGGTACGTCAGTCAGCAGTTTCTGTAAATCCCCTCCTTTGTCTGTTGCCTCGGCTTCCCGAATGTCGACTGGTACACGTGAGCTCCTGCCGCTACGACGCGTTTCATCGTGATCGCGTTGACACGCACCGACGAAGACTCAGGTGAGCCCCAGCGAGGTAAGGCGATCTTGTTACCGTTCACTCGCACGGTGCAGTCACCCATCGCCCAGGCGATTCGCGGGTTGTGTCGTCGCAACCAATCACGCCCGAGTAAAATATCGGTTCCATCGAGGGTCGTTGCGAGCATTTCCTGGCTAAACGTGAAGTTACCCCCACATCGAATCCGAACCCGGTCTACGCGTTCCCGTATCGCCAGCGGCGTGTCGTCTACCAGTCGTGCGTCGATCTCAAGTAAACATTTGTCCAGTGACAGTCGCAGTTTTCGTGCTGTAGCTGTGTTGATGAGGCTGCGGCTGGCTCCCCCGTCTACGAAGATTTTAACTAAGTCCGTCCCAATTTTCCCACTTAGCAGTATGGGGCTGTCTACCGTGGTCCCCGCCTTATTCGCCCGAGTGTGATCGATTGCGTGAACCGGCACAATCACTCGGTGAGGGCCGGTTGGGTCGGGCGAGCGGCGTGACCTGTCAGTAGAGGGCCCGTCTGCTACTGACTCCCAGCGTTTCCCTGCTGCTTGGTCTGTTTCTGCTGCTCAGCTTCCCCCTTCCCCTTAGCGTTTTCCGGGCATTCGCTCTTGCGATGTCCCGGCAGATTGCACGCAAAGCAGCGCCCTTTGAACGGTGCGGCACCGGCGTTTGCGGCGACGGCACGTATCGTGGCGCCCTCGTTCGTCCCACGAGGCCGATGTCCCCAATGGCTGCTTCCGTAGGACACCGGTCTCGGTCGACGGAAGAAATCGAGTTTCTCTACCATAGCGAGAATTTCTTGAAATTCGGTGACGCCGCGAAGCTGGATTTCCTAAGCGATGTCCTGCTTCAGGCCGCCGATGTAGCGGTCGATGCGCTCGCTCTCGTGCATATATCCCACCTGCTCACATAGCGTCAGAAATCCGCTCGTGTAGTCTTGGACGGAACCGAGTTGGCGCCAAATGCGGAGCTTCTGCCGCGCCGCGATCGAAGCCGCGATTGGCTCGAAACGAGCGCGTAGACCTGCGCACCACGCGTCCCACGTGCGATACTGGGGCACCTCCACGAAATATGACGGCGCCCAGGGTCCGGTTTGTCCTTCCCGTGTCGGTAGAGTCGCGTAGTCCACCGGCTTCGTGACGATGACGCGCCACCAGTCCATGGCGGGTCCTCGCAGCAGCGACACGGCGTAGCGAATTTTCGCCGTATCCTCCGAGACGTAGTTCGCGTCGAAGAAGACGTTCAACGTGAAGAGCCACGCCTGAACGGTAGGACCACCCCGTTGACTTGGGTCAAAGCATGGCGGACGCTGCGGCTTTAGCGGCATCGGCGACGGAAGAGTTGATTCGCCGGCCTGCACTGGAATCGTGACTCGGGGTTGAGTCCTGGCCGCATTCGTCGTGTCGGGGTGTGTCGTGCCGTGGTCGTTGTCTCCGTCATGGCGGACGACGCTATCGCTTGCGGCGCTCGCGGGTTGCCCCACACTTCCATGATGTGATGTCTGTGGTGCGGGCTGAATCGGAGTGCCCGGTGCTTGGGATTGTGCTCGTGTGAGGTCGTTTTGCAGGGCCGAGCGTTCTGCCGTTAGCGTCGCAATTTCCTCGGCGCTCTCGCGGATTTGTCGCAGCAGATCTTTCAAGTGCTCCTGCGTGAGATTCGTGACGTCGATGTGTTCAGGCATTTCGAAGGGCGTCGGCTCGTCTTAGTCTAGGCGCAGTCGTGGCTGCACGCGTTTACTAGAGAATGTGAGGACAGCGGCTCCTAGGTGCTAAGGTACGTGAGTTCCTTCGAGTGAGAAATCAAAAGTTGATTTCTTGAGGTGCGGAGATGCGTGGTCCGAAAGAAAGGGGCTCTGAATACCAAGTGTTACGGGTGCAATGAATCAAAGTAGCGAGAATTGCACTAAGGTGTCAAACAAGTACAAAATGTGAGCGAAGGCATGAGCGAACATTTATACGCGAAACATGCAAACGGTAACGCGGTGCGTGCGAGCTAACTAGTGCTACGCTGGAGCGAGGCTCGGGCTAGTCCCGAAGCGTAGGCCGACACGGCCATGCCAGCAGTGCGAGGTTTGGTGAAAACAGTGTGCGCGAAGTCGGCAAAGCCCCGTTAGCCGTGACGGGCGAACAACGGTTGTTGCTGTCAGGGCTGATTTTATCAGGGTAATTACCCTGATTTTTGGGTGATTTCAGACTTTGCACTTTGCGGAGACTGAGATTTTAGAATTACTGAGTTCTCAACCCCGTTCAAATCAGAGTAGTTTTCCTATCCCTGATTTTGAGTATAGTGTAACAGACTAGCCTGTTAGTGTACCCTGACTTAATAGGGTATCGAATCTGTGGTCCCTGATTTTGACCTTATCGAGAAGAAGTTTCTTGGAAATTTCCTTCCGATATCCCCCTTCGGTTTGATCGCAGTACAGCCAGCGCGTGAGCGATGGACAGTAGTATGTCTGACAGGCGATTACACTCGATGTTTGTTATCTTCATGAAATGCGTATAAGTTGTTCCACTGTTGTAAGTGCGTGTGCGTAAAGTTTCCAGAACCTATTTTGCGTTTCGCACAGTGATGTTGGTGTCAGAGTTATATTATTGTGACTGCATGTAGATATAGCAGTAGTGTAGTTATCACATTCTGTTTGGTGGATTACCCCCTTTCCTATCATATTTGTACCCTTAGCTCTATAGTGAAGTCCTCTTTCATTGCCAACTCCCTCACACTCTACCTCCCAACATGGCTCCTAAGGCTAAACCCTAGCAACATATCTTGACATGGTATCAGAGCGGTCTCGGGTTCGATTCCCGGTGTATGCACATGTAGGCCGTTGCCGTTGTGCTTAGTCCTGGGCCTCCCAGTGTGGGGGGGTGTCAGTAGATCTGCACTGTGGATGCCCGATTGATCCTGGAGAGGGTTACAGGCGCGTTCGCCTGGGGGGTTATGGGCGCACTGACCCGCTACTGAATCAAGCCCTTTTATCCCAATGGTCTAGTGGTTGGGATTCTGACATGGTATCAGAGCAGGAATTTCTCCTGAGGACCTATTTTTTTTAATGATCATGGGCCCACCCGTCGTGCCGCCCGTAATGCGCCCCGCGGGTCCCCCGAATCGCCCCGTGGACGAAACCCGCGGGTCCCGTTTTTCGCTTTCTGCAGGCCCTTCGTTTCGCGTCGCGCCCGTGCGCCCTTTTCGTCCGTCACGCTCCCCCCGTCGCCCCGCGATCCGCCTTCGCCAGCGCGGACGCCAGCGCCACGGCCAGCCGCGAGCGCCAACGCTGCAGCCAGCCGCGAGCGCCAGCGCCTGCGCGGACCGCCAGCGCCACCGCCAGCAGCTGCGACGGCCGCCAGCGCTAGCGCCAACGCGACCGCCAGCGCCGGCAGTGGGTGATTCCGCCCTTCCCTTCCGTCGTGGGGGGGGGGTTGGGGGGAGGGGGCGGGTGTGAGGAGCGTGCCGCTCCTCCCTCCCTTCCCTCTTCCTCTCTCCCTGCAGCAATTGTTGCTGAGGGGAGGGGGGGGGGAGAGAGGGTAAGGGGGGATAAAGGAGGGTATGAGAGAGAGTGGCAGAAGCAGCAGCCCTGCATTTGCAACTGCCACCCCCTGCTCCTGTGGCACCTCCAGCTGCAGCCCCTGTTGCCACTTAATTCGTCTCTTTCGTTTGCTGCTGTTGAGCGGCAGGTGCTGCCGTTGAGCCTGCTGTGCCGCCGCTTGTTGCCGCCGCACGCCGCTCTCCAGGCGACCTGCGCCACATGCACCTTTCTTTCGTTTCTGTATTGGCTAAGGGGTTTCTGCTGTTGTTTCTGCCACTGCTGCACTGGTTGTCATTGCTCTTGCGTGCTAATGCTTTCAGTACACTTGCGGGTTGTGATTTATGCTTTGCTATTCCTGCATGCAGTTAAGGGGGGATGTCAGAGTTATATTATTGTAACTGCATGTAGATATAGCAGTAGTGTAGTTATCACATTCTGTTTGGTGGATTACCCCCTTTCCTATCATATTTGTACCCTTAGCTCTATAGTGAAGTCCTCTTTCATTGCCAACTCCCTCACACTCTACCTCCCAACATGGCTCCTAAGGCTAAACCCTAGCAACATATCTTGACAGTTGGCCACATTCAGGTATCGAATCGAAATGTTTGGTTGAGCGAAATCGCTCATCTCTTCCCCACACTAAAACGTGTGCATAAATACCATTTCGTAACACTAAAAGGGTGGAAATTAGCGCGCTCAAAGTGTGCGCGAAACACAGAACGCAAACTTTACGTAGAGGGAGACTTTTTCCCCTGTAACAAAGGGCGCGTTACTACTCTGATCCTCGATTTTCGACCCTGAACGATCAGAGTTTTATACTTTTCAACCCTGAGCAATCAGAGTAGCATTATTCTGAAAAATGTGCACTCATAATAGAGGGGAAAATTATTCCCCGGAATCAGGAAGGCCTAATATGAAACGTCAGCCCTTGCTGTACGCGATGTAGTCGGGCTCCGTAAGGAATGCCAAGAAAGTTCCTTACAGGAGTTCAAACGACAGCACACTTCTGACATGAACCATGGGACATAAGCATCACAGTTCACTCTTGTGCAACGGCACTTTCAAGTTCTTTAGACTCAGATCTCATGATCGAAACAACTTTCATTACTCAAAAGGAACAACATCAATGGGAGATACCCTGCAAGAACCACAAGAGAGAGACACACACACAAGAAACGTGGCACGCTCCCTTCGCAGGCATTACCCTGTTCAGGTGCGAAGGGTTTCTTCTCAGCCCACTCAACCAGACACAGCGTTTATGGCATAAGGGATAGCGATGCTGCTATTGCCAGCTGATGCTGTGTTGGAGAGTGGGCACCCCCGGTGCCAAGCGTATCAGTTCATGAACAAAAAGGGAAAAAGGAAAAGATGATACAGGAAGATGACCCAAACAGGTGAATCAAGTGCCAGCACTGGCACCAGTCACCAGCTTCAACGGAGGGAGCATCCCATCCATCTTCAACCTGCACAACACTAGCAAAACCATTGTCAGAAGCCAGTCTACAGCCAGAGCAGAATCAGCTGCAAACGCCTCTTACTGCAAGAGTCAGCTTCAATTGAGGTTGGCACCAGAGCCAGATGACTTGATGTAAGCCTCAGGCAGGTAAATCTCTCCACCCTTGTCCTGCTCCCCACTGATGACCTTCCTAGCCAAAAGGAACTCAGCACTCATTTCCTCCATTCCTTTCTGAAAACAAGCCACCACCACAAACCAAGAATCAGGGTTTGGGCCTGTTACCATCGAAGCAAGAGCACTCACAATCAGGAACTTGATCTGACCTGGACAGCAGCATCAACGTTCTCCCCATAGCCGTGCTTGGCAGCATACTTGCGGACATCCTCAGTGATGCGCATAGAGCAGAACTTGGGCCCACACATGGAGCAGAAATGGGCAAGCTTAGCACCATCAGCTGGCAGGGTCTCATCATGGAGGGCCTACATGACACAACAAAATTCTGTGAGTAAGACGTAAGAAACACAAGACTTGATCAACGCATCAGCGATGAGCAGTACCTGAGCTGTTGTTGGGTCAAGTGACAGGTTGAACTGATCACGCCAGCGGAACTCGAAGCGGGCCTTGCTAAGAGCATCATCCCACTCCTGGGCATAAGGGTGCTGTTTCGCCAGGTCTGCAGCGTGCGCTGCAATCTTGTAAGCAATGACTCCATCCTTCACATCCTCACGGTTTGGCAGCCCAAGGTGCTCCTGGAGAGTGACGAGGTTTACACCACAAGATGAGACGCAAAACCAAATATATAGTGATGACCTGTAAGTGGTGGGAAACTCCAAGAGCCAAAGTTACCTTAGGAGTGACGTAGCAGAGAAGAGCAGTACCAAGGGCGCCAATGGTGGCAGCACCAATTGCTGAAGTGATGTGATCGTAACCAGGGGCGATGTCAGTAGTGAGAGGGCCAAGCGTATAGAAGGGTGCCTCGTTGCACCAGTCAAGCTGCTTCCTCATGTTCTCAGGAATCTTGTGAAGGGGAACGTGTCCCGGGCCCTCGTTCATGATCTGCAAGCAGGGAAACCCATATCTCAATCAGTCTCGGAGTCAGCCAACCATAATTCGCTTTCTGAAGGTCATCTAAGGCAAAGAGTCACACAGCAACGCACCTGAACATCCTTCTCCCAGGCACGTCGGGTCAGCTCGCCTTGGATGGCCAGCTCAGAGAACTGAGCCATGTCATTGGCATCGCGGATGCAACCGGGCCTGAGTCCGTCTCCAATCGAAATAGAAATGTCATATTCACGGCAAATGTCCAGAATCTCGTCCCAGTGCTCATAGGCGAAATTCTCCTTGTGGTATGTGAGGCACCACTTGGCATGGATTGAGCCACCGCGAGAAACGATGCCAGTGAGCCGCTCGGCCGTCAGCGGAATGAACCTCAACAGAACTCCAGCGTGGATGGTGAAGTAATCAACTCCTTGCTCGGCCTGTACATGACAAAATTAATCAGATTACGCTTGATCTTTACGAAGAAAATCTCGCTGTCTTAAAAACGTCACGGCAATTACCTGCTCGATGAGCGTCTCACGGAAAATCTCCCAGGTGAGGTCCTCAGCAATGCCATTCACCTTCTCCAAAGCCTGAAAATGGATTCGAGTATCAGTCATAAACAGTGCTTTGATGTAAGAACACTAAACAACTAAGTGAAACAGTCATAGACACATGCCTGATAGATTGGGACAGTCCCAAGAGGAACGGCGGAATTACGCAGAATCCACTCGCGAGTCTCGTGAATGTTATCGCCAGTTGACAGGTCCATTACTGTGTCCGCACCCCACATGGTCGACCACTTCAGCTTCTGGACTTCCTCCTCAATAGAAGAAGCGACAGCGGAATTCCCAATGTTGGCGTTGATCTGCACATAGAAGCGAAGGTGTTTCAATAATGCTGCAAAGACAGGTGAAGCACTTTATGAAACATCGGCGTGACTGGCTTCGTACCTTCACGAGGAAATTCCGGCCCACAATCGTAGGTTCAAGCTCAGGGTGACGCTTGTTGGCAGGGATGATAGCCCGTCCACGAGCAACCTCGGATCGGACAAACTCGGGATCCATCTTCTCCCTTGTCGCACAGTAGAGCATCTCTTCAGTGATGATACCCTTCTTGGCGTAGTGCATCTGTGTAAAGCACTTGTCCCCCCTCTTTTCCCTCCTTGCGATCCAAGCCTCCCTCAGCTTTGGCAGACCTGAGAAATTCTCAAAGAAAGATTCAGAAGATTAAAAACAATAAAAATAAAAATAAAAAAATCCCTCAGCTCGCCTTTCTTTGCGAGCCAAGCACATTCTACATAATCAGACAATGGAACTCGCCTTCATTGCAGTCGATGTTCTGGGGACCGCTGGTGTCGTACACATCGAAAGGAGGCTCCTCCCCCGACAGATGAACCCTCCGAAACGGAACGCGAAGGACAGTCCCCGTCTCCTCGTGCACAACGTCCCTGAAAGACAAGATGAGGCAAAAAAAACCAGGGAGACATGGATGCACAACGTTCAGGGCGAACAAGGTTTCTTCATGAACGCACTCCGAAACCCAACAGCGGATAAAGCAAACAACCCACCTGTATTCCTTCGTGCTCGAGGGGAAGCACTCCTCGAACGATGGCATGGGAGGCACATCAATATCGTTCTCCAGGCTGGTAATCGTGGGCCTTTCGGGAGCAGCGATCATCCGCACCGTCGGCGCATGGTGCTTTAGCACGGGTCGCTCGACACCAGCACGCAGCGCAGGAACAGATCCAAGGAAGGAGCTCTGCTTCGCACTGCGGAAGCCCGAAGTCTGAAGGCCATTGCGGACGATCGGAGGCGATGAGAGTGCAACGGCAGCCATGATGCGATTCAGAGGATGCCAGGAGCTTGAGAAAAGATGCCACGAATTTACTAAGGAGCTTTTGGCTGAGGAATGCTTTGAAGAATGGAAGAGAGAACAAATATCCTCGGCTTCCTGTTGCAGGCAGCAGGATTCTCTCGCAAGCTAGCAGCTGTCTGATTTGATGGTAACCCCTTTCGCGTCATGAAGTCGACTTTTCCGCCCACAGGGTGCCACTGTTGCAAGAAAGGCGGACGAGAAGTGGAATCTGTAAGCTGAGGTGGAGGCATGCCAGCGTGGAAACCAAAGCAAAGGTGTGCCATCATTGGCTCGGATGGCTTCGGATCAGACGAACTGACATGGGCACGTTCGAAAGCCGACATGGCGTGGAGTGCTCCGATAAGATCTTTCTGATAAGAAATATTCCGATCTATAGATTCGTACAATCAATACGTATCAATCTCGAACTGTAAATTTATCTGAAATCAGTCAGCTGCCCTGGTTAATTACATAGTCCTCCCTCTAACAAAGGATCTATTATACGTTTAATAAAGAGATGTTCCTCTTATTTATTACAAACCTACTGAAATTTATATCAAAGAAGCACCGTTAGACATGCAATGTGTGCCGTTAATGGCTGTGAGACGGTTGGCGATGCCTTGCTGCTGAAACCATGAATCATAGTCGATCCCAAAGGGCTCCAGCCTCCTTTTGAGCAGCCAGGAATCTGATGTCTTTGGTTGACGGACCAGGATAGCAGCTGCCTCCAATGTTCCGCCACACAGACACCACATGCTGATACCAACCCTGTGACCCTCTTTCCTCCTTGTCCCCATGACCAATCCACACATGTGCTGAGCCATGTGATGGGGCCAACCCTGCTGCAGCATCCTTGGCCTGCCACTCAGCTGCCTGCCTAAGCAGGTCGTCAGCGTCGACAGTGTCAGGCTCGGCGGACTGGTGGCGCACAGCGAAACGCTCAAAGAGAATGAAGGCTACACCAGTGATGATGGCAAAGACCCAGATGGAAATAGTGAAGTCAGGATAGGCTGGTATGGAAGATAGTGGGAACAGCAAAAAAAAAAAGGGAAAAACATATCATGAGTAATTTTTGGTAAGTGGCAACAAGTAATATGGCAACAGGTACAAGCCCATCCAGGAAGTATGACACCTTGATACAAGCCCAACAGGCCATGCAGTCTCAACACAGAACTGCAATCCTTCACGCGGATTTGTTTCAAACTGGGTGTAGACTGTCACAAGTTGAGCAGGAAAAGAGGCTTACCGCTCAGGTCGACAAGGCCAAAGGCATCACGAACGGCGGCGGATGGGTAGAGCAGGAGGAGGGTGCAGCAGAGGAACTGCACCAGGAGCACGGCAATGAGGAGAGGGCTCTGGAACAGGTGTGCTCTGAAGCGGCCAAAGCTCTGACTGACAGCAGCAGCCAGGAAGAGATACTGCAGGAGGAGAGGGGGGGATTATGGAATAGGGATGCAAGAGTGGGACACAGAAGAAGGGTGTTATCTTGAGTAGGAATGCTGTCAAATAGGGGAAAGGCAAAAAAAAACAACAAAAAACTATGGGCAAAAACACACAAACAGATACGCATGCCCACACTCCCCCCTCCCCACCCCACACCCGCCTTCCCTCCCCCCTCCTCACCCACACACACATGGCTGCAGAAATGGCAAAGAATGGCTTACCTGGAAGGAGGCGAAGAGAAAGCTTGCAGTGGTGTTGATGTTGACTTTGCGGTTGAACCCTGGAGTGCCAATGATTGGCTCCACATACCATGACTGGTGCTCACATGCAGTACAGGGGATGGGTGGAAAGGCGGGTGGAGGGGGATGAAAGGCAGGAGGACGCAGGAATCAAAGGGAGGAGGACGAAGCAGTCAAGGTCTCCCAAGTTCGGAAACAACCTATTAGCTTCCCTCAGCTTCAACTCCCTCACTACATCCCACATTTCCCATGCAAACGCAGCACCATCCCATCCAGAGCCACTCTATTTTGTTTGAAACCCCCTCACACCGCTCTCACATCCTCACACCCCTTCACACCCCTCACACCCTCTAAACCCGTCCACCTTGTTGAACCCATCATGACCCGCACCTGTCTCTGCAGGAAGGCAGAGGCGAGCAGCTGTGTGGCAACAATGAGGGCGGACTGGCCGTAGATGCCCACGAGCATGGAGAGCGAGAAGAGGTTTGTCTCGGGCAGGCCACGAGAGAGAGACATGCGCGGCAGGAGGGTGGGGATGAGCAGGATCATGGGGAACACCAGGCCTAGGTCTGGAAGAGAGAGAGGAGGGGAGGAATGGGAAGGGAGGGGAGGGGAGGCGCGGGGAGGGGAGGGGAGGGGAGAGGAGGGGAGGGGATGGGAGAGGAGAGGAGAGGAGGGGAGGGAGAGGAGGGGAGGGGAGGGGAGGGGAGGGGGAAGGGGAGGGGAGGTGAGGGGAAGGGAGAAGAGGGGAGGAGAAGGGAGTGGAGAAGGGGAGAAGGGAATGAGTGCGGGTAGATGCATAACGAGTTGGTCATGTATCGTCTGGGGGAGAGGGGAGTGGCAGAGGACAGGACACATGAAGAAACGGCATTCATTGCACATATTTTGAACCGGATCAAAAGTGAGCTCAAGAGGGAGAGGGCCGTACCTGCCCAGAGGTACTGCATGTCTGTGAGCTCGAGAGCGAGCGATGAGTCTATTTTTGAGTCGGAAAAAAGTAAGTGAAGAGAGAGAGAGAGGGCCGTACCTGCCCAGAGGTACTGCATGTCTGTGAGCTCGAGAGCGAGTGGGTAGAGCACAACAATGGACATGGTCTGCACTATGGCATAGAACATCATGTACTTGAACATGCTCGTTGCCGTCACCAGCGCACACCGCCCGTCCCTCAGCAGCTGGTGAGAGAGGAGAAGGAAATGAGGGAAAAAAAAGGAATGGTGAATGGATGAAAAGGGAGAGAAAGGCACGGATTTTGAAAAAGCTGTGAGGAGAGAGGGAGAGAGAAGGGAGGAGAGAGAATGGGGAAGCAGCAGACGCAGCAGCAAGAGCAGGAGGAGGAACGTAGGAGAGCACACAGACGCACCGGAACAAGCGCTCCTATGTGGGCCACATGAGTGGAGAACGGTGCAGCAATGCTGGGAGCTGCTGCTGCTGCGTCTGCTGCCGCTGCTGCAGACCGTGCCACAGCCACTGACGACCTGCGACCCAGTGGCACTGATGCTGATGATGATGCTCCTGATGCACTGCTGACGGAGCGAGAGGAGGGGAGGTCTGCTAGGGTGGAGTGGCGCTTGGAGGCAATACTGAGGCCCACGTCTGCTGCCTTGAGAGCCGCACTGTCATTGGCACCGTCTCCAGTCCTGGGTGGAGAGGGAGATGCGTTACGAGAAGAGGGCGAGTGTGGAAAGAGAAGGGAAACGGAGGGGAATGAAGGGGGCAATGGAGAGGAGAAAAGGAAATGAAGCGAGGAAATCAAGAGGGGAAGTGGAAACGACAAGTGGAGAGGGGAGGGGAGAGGGGAGGTTGATGTAGAAAAGAGACGAGGAGAGGGTTTGGTGAGGTGAGGTTAGGAGACCGTGCCCTATGCGTCTACCCACTGGTTACCACCGCAGTGTAACGGTTACTCACATGGCAACAGAGTAGCCCAGGTCACGGAGGGCAAGCATGAGGTCCTGCTTGTTGCTGGGTGACATGCGTGCAAACACCCCCGCCCGGGACAGCACCGCTTCAAAGGGAGTAATTGCAGCCGAGGCAGGGGCGAGCACAAGGGCGGACGAGGAGGAGGAGGGGGCCGGGGAGGAGGAGAAAGGGGAGGAAGATCGGCGGGGGGGCTTGTGGAGCGAGGTGAGTCGGTCGTGGTGGGCTTTAAGTGCTGTGAATGCTCGGCCTGTCACCACAAGGTCTGCTCCTCTGAGTGACGCGTCCAGCTGGTAAAGGGTGGGAAGGAGGCAGTGAAGAGAATCAGAGTGTAACCGTGCAGGATGCACAACAGCATAGTACAATCTACGTGCTTTTGTGGACACATGGCTATAATGATTGAAGCATGGGAACATGGGACTTAGGGGCAATCAACGCAGCACGAAACAACTCAAATGCGTCAAGGTCACGCTGAAACAAACTGCAGTGGCATGACCCGCACCTGTGGAACAGCCTTAGCACCATCTGAAGAGCCCTTTTGCAGCACAGAGGCGGCACCAGAGGGCCCCGCTATAAGCACATCGTCCAGAGGCACACTGCAGTGTGTCACCACGTCTTGAATCACACAGCCCGTGCCACCTGGCTGGGTGTCGTCGGCTGTGTCGATGAGATAAGGGTGGCGTGTGGTGTGTAGGAGGTACGGACCACAGTGGCTGCCAGGGGAGACAGGGAGGGAGAGAGAGAGAGAGAGAGAGAAAGATTTTGGAGAGATGAGCACCAGGCAGGGGTGTTTGCTGTGAACTGAGCGGGAGGCATGGCTGCAGTGGAAAGTGGAAAGGAGCGAAAGAAGGGTGGGAGCTTGGAGGAGTATAGCACAGCTAGGACGCACAAGAGAGAATGAGAGGGAATTGGGCAGGGGAGGGTGGGGAGGTGTGGGAAAGAAGGGGAGAAACAGCACACGCAACCGTTAGGGAGCACAGGGGCGTGAGTGACGCGAGGGCGAGAGTGTGCTTGCGAGCGAGAGCAAGAGTGCGAACTAGAGGGAGAGTGGGAGTGAGTGAGAAGGGTTACCGGCTGACAGCAAGGGCAGTGAGGGGGTTATCTCCGGTGACCATGAGGCATCTGAGCCCAGCAGCAGCCAGGCAGTGCAGCACGGGTGTGGTTTCGGGCTTGATGGGGTTCTCTAGTACCAAGAACCCGCTGAACACCAGCTCCCTCTCCATGTCCGCCCGGCTCGCCTCTGCCACCTGGTTGGGAAAGCGGGAAAAAGAAAGAGAAGCAGGGAGAAGTGGGCTTGATGGGGTTCTCTAGTACCAGGAACTCGCTGAACACCAGCTCCCTCTCCATGTCTGCCCGGCCACCTCCGCCACCTGCATGGTGCATGCGTGTGCGGGGTAAGCGGGGGAAAGAGTGAAGGCCAGGGAACATTGGGCTTTATGGGGTTCTCCAGCACCAGAAAGGAACCCGCCGAACACCTGCTCCTTCTCCATGTCTGCTCGGCTCATCTCCGCCACCTGTGTGGTGCATGTGTGTGTGTGGGGCGAGCGGGGGAACGAGTGAAGGCCAGGCCAGGGAGAGCATTGGGTTTGATGGGGTTCGCCAGCACCAGGAAGGAACTCGCTGAACACCAGCTCCCTCTCCATGTCTGCCACGCTTGCTTCCGCCACCTGCATGGGTAAGGGGAAAAGGGAAAGGGGGGGTGGAGGGGAAAGTGGGGAAGAGGGGAAACAGGAGCAAGAAGAGGAAGAAGGTGAAGCGAAGAAGGGGAAGGGAGAGGAGATGTTTCAAGAGGGGGGGATCTCTAATGCTGCAGCTTTGGAATAGAAGAAAGCAAGGATACTGCGCTCTTTCTCACCTGCTGCAGTGTGAGGTGGGAGAGCGATCGCGAGGCCACAGCCAGCACTCTGCTGCCACCGAGCGTGAGAGCCTTGAGCTGCTCCTCGAAGTCACGCGGGAGCGATGCAGGCGTGCACAGGGGGCGAATGCTGCCATGCCACACCACATGCACACGTTTCGCAGGGACATGCAACAGGGACGTTTCGGAGACAGTTGGTTCGCAGAGAGTTGGTTGGTTGGAAGTAGAGTAGGGGGCATGGGGGTTGGAGTTGGGGGAGGGCGAGGGGGTGGGGGTGGGGGGGGTGGGGGCAGGAGAACGGTGGTGGCAAGAAGGATGTATTGAGGTTGACGGGGTCAAAGGAGGGTCCAGATGAAGGCACAGGGTGGTGGGTGTGATGTAGAAGCATCAGCGGAGAGAGCTAGGAGGAGGGGCGGAAGAGGTGCACGTATGTTGAGGAAGCAGATGCGATGGCAGAGGGGAAAGGAGGAAGATAGCAGCACAGCACAGCGTATAAAAGATAAACAAGCACACAACAACGCAAAAACGGCTGCACGCCACCCACCCCCACCACTCCCGCCCACGCTCCCATCGTCAATTGCATGGACACATCACACGCTATATCCAAAGCAGCACCACCGCACCTTTCAGGAGCACCCTTGACAAGCAGAGACATGGGCGCAGCAGCAGCACCCTCACCACCCGCACTCCTCACAACACCAGGGTGCACGTGCAGCACTGCCACAGCCATGCGCCTGAGGTCTGAGTCAAAGTCGAAGCGCCGCAGCACAGCCAGCGCCGGCTGGGAGGAGAATACAAAGGACGAGGCAGAGGCCACCGGGGGGAGGAGATGGTGCGCGGGATGTGGAGTGGAGGGGTCAGAGGGGGAAGGAGGGAGGAGGAGGAGGTCGACGGAGTGGGGAAGGTCTGGGTGGCTCCAGATGGTGTTGATGTCCCAGGCGTTCGTGGGAGGTGGGGCGCTGCTGCCGCTGCTGCTGTTGGTGGTGTCGTGGTGGTCAGATTCAGGGCGAGGGAGAAATTGCCAGCCTGGGAATTGCAAGGGACGAGGGTGAGGGAAAGGGGAGGGATGGAACGGAGGGGAGGGAGGGGAGGGAGGAAGGGAAAGAAGGGAGGAGAGAGAGGTGCAAGAGAGATATTGCTGGGTCTGGTGTCCTAAAATACAGGAGCAAGTGCATTTAACACAATAAGCCCAAACCAAGCAGAAAATTTATGCAACGAAATGCAAACCGTATCATCCCTAACCCCTAACACACTCCATTCACCCTACAATACCCTCCTACTCCCCTCCACCCTTCCTAACCCTCACCACTGCGCCTGAACATCTGTATTTCGAGTGGGTCGCCCACAAACAGACAAACCGAGCCATCCTTCATGTGCACAACAGCACTCTCCTCACTCTCCCCAGCCTCCCCCTCCTCCCCTTCAGCTGCTCCCACCCCACCACCCCACTGCTCCCCCTCATCACTACTCGGCCCTGCATGCAGCCTTGACCCCTGCGTGGCCCCGTCACCCACACTGCTGCTGCTGCTCCTGCTGGCCCGTTTCACCCCCTCGTACCCCCACTCCCCACGCATCAGCCTACTCCAGAAGCCATCCCTGCCCGTCCGCTCTGCATGCACTTCCATCTCGGGAAACGCATCAGAAGCAGACGAGGAGGAATCTGAGCGGGAGGGGGCAGGACCGTGGAGCAACGACAGGCTGTGGCAGGCAGCTAGGGTGTAACAGAGGGATGCAGTGGGACTGGATGCGGTTGAGGCAGGTTGGGGTGATGCAGCTGTGGGCTTCACAGCCTCGTGGTAAAGCTCCAAGAGGTTAGAATGGAGGGAGGAGAAGGCCGAGGAGGAGGCAGAAGAGGAGGAGGAGGAGGAGGAGACGGGGATGGCCCCAGAGATGGTGAGGCCGTCTCGTGTGAGAGTGCCTGTTTTGTCAAAGCAGAGGAGGTTGACACGACCTGCGTTGATGATGCGAGGCGGGCTGCATGGGAAAGGGATGGGCAAGAATAGAGGCGATAGAGACAGGGTGAGACAGGGAAAGGAACAAAAGCAGCAGGTAGTAAACAATGCACATCAGGGAGAACGATGCAAGGGCAAGGGTAAGCACGTACATGGAGACAAAAGAAGTCAAAAGAAGAAGAAAAGGGATGAAAAAAAGAGAGAGGTAAGTCGAAATGAGGGAAAAAAGGAAGGGCAGTGGTGCGTACTTGATGCAGAAGATGCCACACGCTTGGAGGCGAGAGAAGGCGGTGGTGAGACCGATGGAGAGTGCAAGAGGCAGGGCGGGCGGCACAGTGATAGTGAGGATGTTGAGAACGCTCAGCACCAGCTGCCTGGTGCTCACCTGTGAGGATAGACCAAGGGACGCGTAGAGGGATGGGTGGAAAGGGAAGGCATGCGTGGGGAGGGGAGTGGGATGGGATGTATGGAGGAATTGGGGGGGGTGACGGAGGAGGTGTTAGGGGGTGATATCGGATGGGTATGGGATGGAGCTGTGCAACACTCACACACATATTGCTGCGCAGCCGTGGTATGTACCCAGAACGCATCACACACAATGCCTAGTTACAAGATGCATAACCCTGCATGCAGACAGAAACTCATTCACTCACCCATTCACTCACTCACTCACATACTCACTCACCCACTGGTAGATAACGGTGATGATGGCAGCAATGAGGAAGAACACAAAGAGGTTCACGATCAACAGGTAGAGCTTGCACTCAAAGTCAAACGACACAAGCTGCACGGTTACAGGATACATCACACCATGCATGCGCATACTCGCTTACTCACTCACTCGCTCGCTCACTCGCTCGCTCACTCACTCTTTCAAATGCTCAGCGCACACACCTTGTTGTACTGGTAGATAACGGTGATGATGGCGGCAATGAGGAAGAAGACGAAGAGGTTCACGATGAACAGGTAGAGCTTGCGCTCAAAGTCAAACGACGTGGGCTTCGGGTAGATGATGGCGCGAACCAGCTCTCCCTTGGAGGTCGCATACCCCGTGCCCACCACCATAGCTGTCACAGGCATGGGCTGGAAGGGAGAAGGGCAAACGTTCAAAAACAGCAACAAGGATGGGAGCGTGAGGGGTTGAAAGGGTGTGAGCGACCACAGCGAAGGGAGCTTGGAAACTGGGAAAAGGAAACCGATGGTCTGCGAGGGGCCTTAAACATGGCGATTCACAAAAGGAGAGTGCCCAACAAGGTGTAAGAACCCACCTGTCCTTGGCTCACATTGGCGAAGTTCCACACACAAGGCGGGGCCTCCCCGCTAGAAGACGAGGAAGGCCAGGTGGGCGGAGGGGTGGGCGGTACCCTGAGCGCCCTGGTCTGCAGCACCTCTGTGCCTGAGAGCAGACGGTACTTGGAGTCAGCCTCTGACCCTGGCCGGAGGCTGCAGGGGGAATGGGGCAATGGACGGATAGACAGCCAGGCGTTAGGCAGACTTGTGAGTTGACTCAGAAATGGAGAAGCGGGAGGTGCCCTCTCTGCTGGAGCTTAGAGCAGGCGGTACTTGGAGTCCCCCTCTGACCCTGGCCGGAGGCTGCAGGGGGAATGGGGGGAGAAACCAGAGCAGCCAGACAGGCAGACAGGTAGGTAAGGATGGCAGGCACGCAGAGAAACAGACAGCAGGCGCATCACAGGAGAAGAGCACAAGGGAGACTTCGCATCAAACGCAAATGGAACCGTTCCTAATCACAGTCTTAAGTAAGCTCAGGACATCCCACCCCTTCCGTCTCGCCCCTTTCCTCCCTCCCCTCCCATTTCCATTGTGAAGCCCTCCATGCCCCTTTTCCCCTGCCTACCTCTGCGCTTGTCCAGAGAAATCAAGAGGCAGGGCCGTCTTGAGCACAGGAGCGGATTCGCCAGTGAGCATGGACTCGTTGAGCACGCACTGGCCTGCCAGCAGCACCAGATCGCATGGCAGCACCATCCCCGCCTCCACCTGGAAAAAAAGAACGTTGGAGAGAGAGGAGACGGCCGATGAGTGGGGTGTTAATGGGGAAGAATAATGGAGAAACGGAGAGGTAGCTCTGGTGGCAAAACGCATGCATGCTGGGACTCCCATCAGTGCGCGTACACCCGCATCCTTCCTCTCTTCCCCGCTCTCTCCCCTCAGCCCTGCCTGCAGTGCACTCTCCCCTTCGTGGCCACTCACCTGCACAAGATCTCCTGGCAGCAGAGCGCTGGCTAGAACCTGCTCTGGCTGCAGCCTTGGCGGAACAGAGGGGTCAGCAGAATCACGGCGGGCTGTCAGCCGCACCACAGAACAGTCCGTCTCTGCTAGCCGCCTGCGCCGAGGAGGACAGGATTGGGCGGAGGCGATAGAGGAGGATGAGGAGAAAATGGTGGGGGGGAAGAAAGGGGGCGAAAGAGGGGCGAAGGGGACGAGCTGGGGAGAAGACGCAATGGCATGGGAAGAGCGAGGAGAGGGCGAAGGAAAGCGTGGAGTGAGGATGACGGAAAGGATGGAAGAGAAGAGGAGAGGAGATGAGGAAGGGTCTGAGTGAAACAGCTTACTTGATGGCAAGCCTGTTGCGGCGGGTCTGGGCGGCCTCGTATACGACTGAGGTGGTTGTGAGGAAGATGATGACGCAGGAGTAGAGGTAGTAGTTGATCAGGAACCACACAATCACACTGAACACCTGGAAGACGAAAAACGGCTTCAGCACCTCCCCTAACAGCAGTACCCTGCACGGATGATTAGCAGGGAGGGGGGCGTGAGGGGTGTGTGTGAAGTCGAGGAGGGCCAAGCAGGGAGATGTTGAGATGGCATTACGGTCTGGGTGAGGCTCAGGCAAATGGCGTGGGTGGATACGGGGGAGGGGGAGAGGAGTGTGCGGGGCGGGGTGGTAATTTGCACAGTGGGCCGGAGGAGTGTGCACAGCGCACTCAAACCATACAGCACGCAACAAGCAGCATGCATGGCACGGCACTTCGCACACAGCACGGCACACGCACCAGAAGCTGGGTGCATGCACATGCAGGATATTTGGGCCGTGTGTGAGGAGCCGCCGCTCCCAGTCACTCACATCTGCCACACACCATGGCATGGGATGGGATGAGAATGTCATGGCATGGCATGGGATGGTGATGGGCGGAAATAAAGGAATAGGTTGTGAGATAATTTGAAACGGAATGGGGGGATCTGAAAAGGGAGGGAACAAGAGCGGAGCATACAGTAGAAAAAAAGGAGAGAGGAATGCGGGAAGAGGGGTGAGGGGTGAGACACAGGAGGAAGAGGGGTTACACGTGACGATTGTTGGAATCAGGTAACAGTTGGGTGGAGGAAGAGAAGGGCAGAGAAAGAAAGTAAAGGAAGAGCGCGCATTCACTCGTGAACGGGTGTCACCCACCTCCCCATCCAACTTTCCCCCCAAAATCGCCGTCCTTGCCCAACCCCCTCCCCTCCTCCCGCCAAACCTAACCCTCTCTCTCCAAACCTCCTCCACTCATCCCTCGCCCTCTCCCGTGCCCCCGTTCCCCCTTTCCCCCCACCCCACACCCTCCGCGCGCGCACCTCCTGGGTGACTCGCCCCCCGGGGCTCCTGCATGGCACAAGCGGCGCCATACTTGTGGAGCGCGGCGGGGGTGGAGGCGAGCTGGAAGCGGTGCCGCTTCCACACCAGCGGCGTGCTGCTGAGCTCGGTTGTGCGCGTGGCGGACTTGGGCGTGCCGTCGAACAGACGCGCGGCCGCGGCCGGGTCGAACCAGAAGCGCTCGCTGCGCCACAGGAAGGTTCGAGGAAGGGCCGCGAAGCTGATCTCGCAACCCTGTGGAGAAAACGGGGAGGGAATGTGAGGGTCGGGAGTGCGGGTAGTGGGGTGGGTAATGGACAAAGGTCGTGGGGGGAAACGGAAATGAGGAAGATTGCTGATAGTGATGACCACGAGGCGGGAGACCTGAAAGGAGCATCTGCGCTTTGAAGAGACAGAGTTCATACATCAACGTCGTGACGATCAACATACATCCCCTCCCGCGCATGCGTCGGTACGCTACAGAAACACAGGCGCATCATTTCCTGCCTAGATACCAATACGCAGACCCGCAACCTTCCCCGGACCTGCATACCCTGCCTACCGGACGGCTGGTGCAGGTGCGCGCCGTCGCGACGTCCACCCAACCACGGGATGGGGCCCAGGGATCGACGGACTCGAGCGAGGCGACTGTCAGGATACCGTCGAGACTCTCCACCAGCACGTAGTCCGTGTTGATGTCGCCGGGAGGAACGCTGGCTTGGGGAATGGTTAAAGGAGAAGAGAATAGAGAGGCGGACGTCAGGTTACCGTCGAGAGTTTCCACCAGCACGTAGTCCGTGTTGACGTCGCTGGACGGAACAGTATTCGGGGTAAGGAAGAGTGTAGAGAGATGACGACGAAGGTGTCTGTTAAGTCGAATCGCGCGAATTTAGCCAGGAAGAAGACTGCTCGGATAACATAGAGACTCTGCACCCGCATTGATCGCGTCGAAGGGGACGCTGGTTGGGGAGGAAGACTAAACAGAAAGAAGAACAAACAGACAGACGATCAGCGTGTTTTAAGCACCAGTTATCAACGCTGGGTCGAGCCAATCTAAAGAGAAGAGAGATGACGGAAGGGACGCTGGGGGAAGGGTTTGGGAGGTGGATTCAGGCCCTAAGGGGAAAAAAAAAGCAGCGGAAACGGCGTGAAACGAAGAACAGTATATGCATAACGTGGTGAAAGCGCAAGTAGAGGAACCTGCAAAGGAATGCGTCAGCTGACAAGGGATTTGTAACAATGCGACTGTCTCGTCGTACCGCTTGAATCGCAGGTTGACGTAAAAAGCAGGGAACCAGCTGGCTAGCAGCGGAATGAGGCCGATAGATAGCACGGAGAGGACGACAAATATGAGATCTCCCAGCAGGTAGCGATGCCAGCACGACACCGTCTTGATCGAAACAACCTGATGAGGGGGAAATTTATCAGACAAATGGATAACAATATTCATCAGTTCTGAGCAGGAGAGAAAGCTGGAAACGGTTTTACAATAATACAAGGAATCTGTATAAAATGGGGAAACTTTGCCACATTGACGAGTAAAACGTGGAAGATAACCTGTCAAATGACGATCTTATTAATATTCTGTGCTAACCTCGTCTTCGTGGTGTCGGTCAGATGCTGAAGCTGCTCCGTATGACGCATGGTCATCGTGACTGCTATGCGCTGCCGGTATCTCCGTTATCATACAATCTAGCCATCCGTCATTAGTAGCTTCTAACGAATGCGATGGAGCCATTTCAGGTCCTCAGACCGGCAACAAAATCGCGAGTTCAGCTGACAAATAGGATATTCACAATAAGAGGTAAGGTGATGGCTCCTGGCCTCAAGAGCATCAATACACCAATCTACGTAGCATACTAGCGTAGGCAAAGGTGACGCGATGCGAGTGACACGAAAATGTTTGCGAGGAGAATCTCACAGAACTAATAGCCACATCAGGTGCTATTCAGCATACTGAAGGGAGTGCCTGTCAAGTGTTTGACAGGAGATCTGATGTGACTGGGGAGTGAATTTTTGGAACCCAGCCACGGTTGGAGGAGACTTGAAACACACAATTCTGTGTGAGTGAGTGATGAGCGACAGTCAGGTAACAGTCGGCCGGCGCACATAGAAATTGACGAACGGCGGCGAGGCAAAACAGTGTAACGGAACGCGATGAGATTGGGGGAGAAACAAGGGCAGGAGAATCCAGGGCTGGCGCAGAGGGAGGGGGGGGTGGTGCGCCAGTCAAACCTTCCGCCAAATCTTGTCTGCCGGGCAAAATGATTCGCTGCACACACTACCGCAACTCACGCAGGCGAAACCTGGAGCCAAACACAGGGTGCCAAATACAAATATCCGTTATGAGCTTAGCAGCGTAAACCTTCCCACGACAGCAAAGGAAACATTTGGAAATGGGTTCTCAGAATGTAGGGAAGGCATTGTACAATTGGTGATGCTAAGATATACAGAATAATACTTCCTACATTGACTCCTCGATTTCTGCAACGTCTGCCTCATCCCCGTCCCAGAATTCTTGCTACCTAGCTAGCATACATATTTTCCCTTCATCCATAATGCTTTTCTGCCTGATCAGCTACTACATCAGTCGCCATAGCATTACTTGCTCCTCCCTGCTTGCTTCCAATCACATGCAGCAGCCAACGTAGGCCCGCTGCATTGACAACATGTTTTATGTTCGTTACTGAGCGCACGTTGAACACGTTCCGAAAGCGAATGTGTGTGCACTCCGACGTACGTTGCACACTCCTAACACATCCAAAGCTAGTCATGGCTTCGCCCGACCGTCTCTAGCTCGGCTCCTCCTGGGCTCGCTTCCTATTGAGCCAGCATGCTACCCTACATCCATAATCAACCACGATGCAGTGTGCATAGACCTGCAGAGGTGAGTATCTAGGGAATGAATCTTGAGGCAAAGCTGTAGCGTGTAACGTGGATTCTTTTGATTCGGTAGACTCGACGCTCTCCTGTCAGAATGAGCAAGGGCTGGTGTGGAATCTGGAAGGACTGACTCAAGTGATCGTCTACGGAATCGGATCGGGAGGTGGGCTGTGATGCTGCCTGTTATGAGGCATCTCAAGAACTACCATACAGTCATGGCCCCTTCCCGGCCCCTTCGCGGCCCCTTCGTGGCACCTTCGTGGCCCCTTCACGGCCCCTTCTCGGCCCCTTCACGGCCCCTTCACGGCCCCTTCGCGGCCCCTTCGCGGCCCCTTCACGGCCCCTTCACGGCCCCCTCGCAGCCCCCTCGCGGCTCCCTTCGCGGCCCCTTCCCGGCCCCGCCCCGCTGCCCGTAGCGACCCCGCCCCGTCGCCCTTCGCGGCCCCGCCGCAATGCCCCCGCCTCGTCGCGTCGCCCCTGCGGGACCCGCGGGGCGCGGCTCCTGTGCGTCGCGACGCCCCTGCGGGACCCGCGTGGCGTCACCGTTGCCCGCCGCGGCGCCCTGCCCTAACCCGCGCCCTGGAGCAGCCGCCACTGCAGCAGCCGCCCCTGGAGCAGCCGCCACTGCAGCAGCCGCCCCTGGAGCAGCCTCCCCTGCAGCAGCCGCCCCTGGAGCAGCCACACCTGCAACAGCCGCCCCTGGAGCAGCCGCCACTGCAGCAGCCGCCCCTGGAGCAGCCACACCTGCAGCAACCGCCCCTGGAGCATCCGCCCCTGCAGCAGCCGCCCCTGGAGCAGCCGCCACTGCAGCAGCCGCCCCTGGAGCAGCCGCCACTGCAGCAGCCGCCCCTAGAGCAGCCTCCCCTGCAGCAGCCGCCCCTGGAGCAGCCGCCACTGCAGCAGCCGCCCCTGGAGCAGCCACACCTGCAACAGCCGCCCCTGGAGCAGCCGCCACTGCAGCAGCCGCCCCTGGAGCAGCCACACCTGCAGCAGCCGCCCCTGGAGCAGCCGCCCCTGCAGTAGGCGCCCCTGGAGCAGCCGCCACTGCAGCAGCCGCCCCTGGAGCAGCCGCCACTGCAGCAGCCGCCCCTGGAGCAGCCGCCACTGCAGCAGCCGCCCCTGGAGCAACCGCCCCTGCAGCAGCTGCCCCTGGAGCAGCCTCCCCTGCAGCAGCCGCCCCTGGAGCAGCCGCCCCTGAAGCAGCCGCCCCTGGAGCAGCCGCCACTGCAGCAGCCGCCCCTGGAGCAGCCACCCCTGCAGTAGCCGCCCCTGGAGCAGCCACCCCTGCAGTAGCCGCCCCTGGAGCAGCCGCCCCTGCAGCAGCCGCCCCTGGAGCAGCCGCCCCTGCAGCAACCGCCCCTGGAGCAGCCACCTCTGCAGCAGCCGCTCCTGGAGCAGCCGCCCCTAGAGTAGCCGCCCCTGGAGCAGCCGCCCCTGGAGCACCCGCCACTGCAGCACCCGCCCCTGGAGCAGCCGCCTTTGGGGCAGCCGCCCCTGCAGCAGCCGCCCCTGGAGCAGCCGCCCCTGGAGCAGCCGCCCCTGCAGCTGCCGCGGAGCCCTCGCTCTACAGTGGTAGCGGCCTCGCCGTTGCCGCCGTCGTACGCCTGCCCTTCTCGCCACTGGTAAGCACTGCCCTGCCCGTACTGCTTTTACTGCTGCTCTTGCTGCTACTGCTCTTTCTACTGCTAGTGCTGCTCCTGGCTTGTCCAGATGCAGCTCCAGCGCCGTCCGCGTGAGTCCCTTACCCCCCAACAGTTTCGTGAGTGGTACGCTAGTTGGGGTTATAGGGGTGGCTGCGCTGCGACTACTGCTATTGCTACTGCGGCTTCCACTGCTCCTACTGCTCCTGGCGGTGGCCAGATGCAGCTCCAGCGACGTCCGCGTGAGTCCCTCACACCCTAGCAGCTTCGTGAGTGGTACGCTACTTGGGGTTGTCGGGGTGGCCGTAGTGGGAGTCGTCATGGAGTGAGTAGTTTGGCAACTGCTACTAGTGGCCAGGTGCAGTTTCAGCGTCGTCCGTGCGCGGTCCTTTTGCCCCAGCAGCTTCGTCAGTGGTACACTCACCGTGGCGGGTCACGGGGTACTGCTCGCTGTTCTTACGTCATTCGCACTGGTGCTCAGACTGGTCAGCCTTGCGGGACGTTTGGTCACGCAGAGTCCCGCTGCTTCGCCCGTCTGAGCGACGCCTGGCGTACGGAGTTTGGCGACGCGGCTGAGCTCCCCAACTAGGTGGAGCTGCTTCGGAAGCGGGTAGATATCTATACTCTTGACTATGATGCTATCCTCACTGCCATGTATGCATTGCCTACTAGTGATGAGGGTGACTGTTACCTGTGTGTTCCGCCTGACCCGGGTATTGAGGCTGCTGCTCTAGGTGCTGTTGAGGCTGTTGCTCTAGGTGCTAGTGCGTCTGCTGCCCCAGGTGCTGGTGAGTCTGCTCTCTCAAGTACCACGTCGGCTCAGGCCTTACTCACCTTCACCCTTGACTCGGGTGCTTCCCGCTCCTTCCTTCGAGACCGCACCACGCTTACGCCGCTTAGTCGGCCGGTTGCGTTCTCCCTGGCGGACCCCTCTGGGGGTCCTGTCCTCGCTCGCTTCTCCACTGTCTTACCGTGTCCGGCAGCTCCCTCTAGCACCCTATCGGGTCTCTACTTCCCCTCGTTCTCTACGAACTTGGTGAATGGTGCTGATCTAAAGGATAGGGGGGTTGACCAGTTCACTCCTGCGAGTCAGCAGGTGATCCACTGCACGTGTGCTCGGACGGGCCGACACTTGGCCACGTTTAGCCGTCGGCCGGGGCCGAGCCTGTACACACTGACTACTGAGTCTCCTCCGGTTGCTGAGTCTGGTCACGTAGCTGCGTTGAGTCAGGTGTTTGCTGCAGCGTCCAGGTCTGGTCCTGAGTCTGCTCCCTGCTCGTGTCGTCTCCTGTCCCACCAGACTCTCCTCTGGCACCACCGCCTTGGTCACCCCTCCCTGCCTCGTCTCCGAGGCATGGCCTCCCGTGTCCTTGTCTCTGGTCTCCCCCGGTCCCTCCCTCCCCTCCCTCCGGGGCCTGCCCCGACCTGCGTTCCCTACGTCGAGGGGCGGCAGCGCGCCGCCCCTCACTCCTCCGAGTTTCTTCCGACAGAGGCTCTGCTGCAGACTCTTCACATGGACGTGTGGGGCCCCGCCCGCGTCCGTGGCCAGGGTCACGAGCGTTACTTCCTGTTGCTGGTTGACGACTACTCGCGTTACATCACAGTCTTCCCCTTGCGCAGCAAGGGTGACGTCACTGAGGAGTTGATCGACTAGATCCGCGCAGCTCGTCTCCAGCTCAGAGAGAGTTTCGGCTCGGACTTTCCTGTTCTGCGTCTGCACTCTGACAAAGGCGGGGAGTTTGCCTCTGCTTGTCTGGGAGCTTTCTGTCGTGCACAGGGCATCCGCCAGACCTTCACGCTTCCGACCTCTCCACAGCAAAATGGGATTGCTGAGCGCCGCATTGGCATGGTCATGGATGTCGCTCGTACGTCCATGATCCATGCGGCTGCCCCCCATTTTCTGTGGCCGTTTGCGGTTCAGATCGCAGCGCATCAGCTCAACCTTCAGCCCCGAGTCTCCTTGCCAGAGACTTCCCCCACCTTGCGGTGGACGGGGAAGGTTGGCGATGCGTCTGCGTTTCGTGTCTGGGGATCTCGGGCGTTTGTCCGCGACTTGTCTGCGGACAAGCTGTCCCCCCGTGCTGTTCCCTGCGTCTTCCTCGGCTTCCCCCCTGACGCGCCTGGTTGGCAGTTTTACCACCCCACCTCGCGCCGGGTTCTGTCCTCCCAGGACGTCACCTTTGACGAGTCGGTGCCTTACTACCGTCTCTTCCCC